GTCAGGGCGGGGAGGGCAAGCGGTCCGGCCGGCCCGGCGAGGCGGGCTGCCCGCGGCCCGGTGCCTGGATTCACTGACGGTACGTGTTCTTGAGCCCGGCAGCCGCCGCGGTTTGAAAGGATACATTAAAATGCCTTCTGGTTCCCGAAGGCAATCGATTCTAATTCTGGCTGGAGAAACGTTACTGATTTTTTAAATTATTACTTTCTTTCCCCACAGGATTTGATGAATGATTCAGCCTTTTGTCACCAAGAAATCTGCTAAGAAACCTTCTCTAATCACTAAATTCTCTGCTTTTCTTTCCAAATGTGTTATTCCAAGCAACAAGTTTTCAAAAACAGTTGCAGATCAACTACTTGAATTAGAAATGAGAATTAGTTTTCCATGAACTTTGTTACTGGTACCAGTTTTCTACTTTATATCACAGCAGTGGTCTGCTAGGATTAGGGCCAGTTGCTATGCTGTGCCTGCAGGTACAGATGTATTTTTGAATGTTGCTTTGCAGAACCTCTTTGAGATTGTCTTAAAATGGAACGTGAGTACATGGAGAAGATCAACCATTACTGTCAAAAGCATAAATTTACACTGGCTTATATCGATGTCAGGATGACCGGCCCATCTCATGATCCTGAGTAAGTTCACTGTGCATGTCAATAAATGTCGGGACTCTTCCTGCAATGAATGAACTGGGTAAAGCTTGAAATCATAAAAGTCTGTGATTTATGTTGTTAATTTCTAACCATAAACATTGGATGTATATTAATTGATTTGGTACCAACATGTTTTCTGTGTAGTTAACTTTTGAACATCTGTTACAAGAGCAGGGTGTTTTGCTTAAGATATTTTCCTTTTAGAGACTCAGGATCTATGATGTTTCCTTGTGTGATTTTTTTTTTTTTTAAATTTTTGCTAGTTTATATGAAGTCAAGCCTTATGCTAATAATTAGGATGCTTCTTTTAATGTCTTCCATGTTGCCAGCCAGCACTGTCTTTGCTGAATTAATTGTAGACCTGACCATAGTCCTAGAATAAATTAGTATTAGCTGGGTGTCAAATGTTAATTAGTTATCTTATTTTTTTTCCCCATGCGGCTCATGTAATTCAAAGAAGTAACCCCTATCACAGTAATGGCCATACCTGTGGTCACACAGTTACATCTTCATGCTTCAAAAGTGATAGCGTGGGACAAACAGAATTTACACACATTTCAAATTTACTCATTTATCCCATTTATTGCACTTTTTCACATTTTCCGTGTGCTCTGCTACATTGAGAAATATAATTCAACTCATTCTCTTGTATCTGTAAGTGATGTGAAGTTTGGCAAAGGTATCTAGGAAAATCCTGGATAACTTGGGCTGTTCCAAGGAGTACAACGTACAGCATCTGGCTACAGGGATGAGTGCTGTAAACCTCCTTCCGTGCCTTAGTGGTGCTCTTTCCCACTGCTCTGCCTGGGAACGGGATGCGTTGGCCACTGCTGATCCTGACCTAGCTCCCTAACTCTTCTGTGCTATGTCTCATAAGTCCTCCTGCAGTTGTCTGAGGCACGATGCACAGGCACCTTCAGTCATCTCCTCCTGTCCTATCATGGTTTTGGTGCTGTAGCTGTTTCCACTGCCATGTCTGGTGGGGTCACTGCTGAACGCGATGTAAGAAGTCTGGGAGAGCCCAGGCTGGCTCAGTCCTGAGCAGTGGTGAGCTTTCTTTGGCTGGGAATGCAGTGTGTGGGCAACCAGGCCGATACTACCTAAACCTGACAAGTCTGGGCAGTGCTTATTAACTTGGGACCCATGGTGGATAAGTGCGGGAGAGCTGAGCATGCACATGACCAATGTGATCAAGCAATACCTGTTTATTACAACTAAGAAAGCCCTTTTATAATGTTGTCCCGCACACGTGAGTAACATGCAGTACAAGTCCTCAAGATTGGACAGTTAACTTAACCAGTGCTTTAAACCGTCTTATGATTGGATAAAAAGTGCCCCATCAGCCTTGCCAGGCTTCCTGCCTTGTGTAACTTCCTCTTCCATCCCAACCCCTTCTGGGGGTTGTTTGTCTCGTTGAGTTTCTCCCCCCTCATTCAGGGTCACATCCTTATCGCATTCTTGCTCAGGTGAGGCTCTTACCAGTCTTATTCTCATGCAGGATTGCTCACATGTCCATTCTCTCGCAGAAAGTCCTCTAGAATCCCAACAGATAAGTGTGACTGTACATTTGGGACCAGCCCATGTAACACTCATTCAGATAATCCTTAACTCAGGTAATTAACTCATGGATAATTGAGGCTCGGACTGCAGATTTCCTCATAGATGCTTAAATAAAATGGTGACTTTTGGATGCAAAGTCATAGCTGAATGTATATAGTATTCAGCATTTAGATATGGGTTGGCTAAGAAACCCTTTCCCAAAGAACAACTTTTTTTTCATGCTTTTTTTTTTTGGTATGCTGTTTCCTGTGTGTAGGATATGTGGGACACTGGTGTGCCTTGTCCTACTGTTTACCTCCTTAAGGTCTCTTATTAAGTCTTGCTTACGCAATGACTGCAAGCACTATTCTGCATCATTTGCCATCCAAACGTTCTGTTAAAGGGAAGTGAAGAATGAAGTTGGAATACTGAAAAAAGTTAGTTCCTGAAGTCGTTCCACTATTTGAGACAAATTGTCCCACAGAGAAACTCATGATGTTATACCTAGACTGTTTGAATGTATCATGTTGACTGAGCTTGTATATCTATATGCTCAGCTGCAATGTGAAGTACAGACAAACCCTGATGTTACAATAACAGTCCCTTTAACTTGATGCGAGTCTGTGTTGCTGCCAAAAGCAGAAATTTAGTTTTCTTCTCTGTTGCCTTTTCTGCAAAGGTAGTAGCAGAAACATTAGTGATTTTGCAGCTGCAGTACAAGTTGGATCTGGATAAGAACTGATTTGGTGTGAAAACCAGCCATTTGCTATTAGGTCACTGTGGTGGGTTGACCCCAGGTGGCAGTGAAACCCCCGGCCAGCCACTCGCTCACTTCTCCCCAGTGGGCTGGGGGAGATAATCCAAAGGGTGAAAGGAAGAAAACCATGTGGATCGAGATAAAGACAGTTTATAAGTGAAGCAAAGCTGTATGTGCAACCAAAGCAAAATAAGGAATTCACTTGCTACTTTCCATTGGCAGGCAGGTATTTAGTCCTTTCCAGGAAGGTGGGCCTTCTTCATACATCATGGTTACTTGGGGAGACAAACATTATAACCCAAAATGTCTCCTCTTCCTCCTTTTTCCCCTGGCTTTTATTGCTAAGTGCAATGCCATATGGCATGGAATGTCCCTCTGGCCAGCTGCGCTGGCTGTTCCCCTTCCCAGCTTCTCTCACACCTGTAGCCTACTTGCTGGGAGTCTAGACTGGGGAAAAATAAAAGGCTTTGATGCTGTGCAAACACTGCTCAGCAACAGGTAAAACATTCTTGTGTTATCAACACTGGTTTAGTCGCACCATACCAGCTGCTCTGAAGAAAGTGAACTCCATCCCAGCCTGACCCATTGCAGTCAGTCCTGAGTTGCACCAGTTCCCTGTTCTGGCTCATGGAGCTGCTGTATGGGAAGCAGCGCGTGCACAGTTGTGCAATGGCAGGGCAAGGGATCAGTGGTTGAGTGTGGAAGGGCAGGGTTGTTTTTTTGGTTTTTTTTTTTGGGACTGCCTCTAAATTCTGTCTCATGAAGCACCAGACACATTTTTTTGCACTTATATGTATCAGCGTATCGAAGGTGAGTGTAATGTCTCGCCTGGATCCATAAGATTAGCTATTCTTTCCTCTTCATACAGTTTTGCAGTGCTGAGATGTGTGCTGGTGTTAGGGCTTCACAACCTTGCCTGTAACAATGCTGACCTTATGCATTCTTTTGCTTTCAAAATTTACATAATTGTGCTTTTAAAAAGCATTTAAGCATTTAAAAATACTATTAGAACTAATAAAGTATAGGCATTTGTGATTAGGGAGGAAACACTTTAAAAAAATATTTGTACTAAAGAATTATGATAATTAGGAGTTAGATATAATAAAAACACATGAATGTTATATACCTCCACAGTTAATTTATTGTGCTTTGTAGATAATAATCTTCTCAGTTTAACATTCTTTTTAGTAAGTATATATGAGACAAAATGTGACAATGTTTTAGAAAAGTTTCCTTCTATTACCATTACAGGTTCACAATTGTGGTTAAAATAAATGGTGAGGAATATGGTACAGGGACTGGTAAAAAAAAAAAGGAAGCAAAAGCAGTAGCAGCAAAAAAAGCCTGGGAAGTGATTGAGAAACGGGTGAGTAAACTGTAGGATTTAATTTTTTTTTTTTTTCTAGTAAATATTGAAGATGAATCTCTAAAAGTAGCCAATAAAATATAATTTTCTTTAATTTGGAAGAGTTTTGAATTATTTAACTTGTCTTTGTTCTGTCTTATTCAGCTTTTCTACTTTATACCACTGAACTATTTTCCTTATTGTTCTAATACATGGTTAGTATGTAATATCAAGACTGTTTCCTCCTCTGCTGTTATAGGAGGATGAGGAAATGTGTTTGCTTTTGTTAAGTTGCCTTGTTATATCCAGAGTGGATAGTGTTCCTTTTTCATCTTGACAACTGTTCAGTAATTCAGTGTCTTCAAAACATTTGCAGGGCACTGTTCGGTGCGTCTGTTGCCACTCTGGTTATAGAATTGCTTACTCTCACTTGATCTAATTCATCTTTGTTTCCTTGTCATTATATTCTTTACAGTATAACTGATTTATATAGCTCTTTATCCTTCCTTGATTTAGTTTAGGTTTAAATTTTGCTCCTCTGTTTTCTGCCATGTGTTTTGTGGTAGCCATTCCTTGTTTTTCTTTCTGATTCTGAATGTTCTTAGCACATTTTGAGTGAAATCTTTCCTTACCTGTTTCCATATGTTTTTTATTTTGTCACCATCATTACCTTAACACAATTGCTGTATGTTTGCTAATATGTTATTAATGCTACCTAATCATGACACAGTTGAAAAATCCTGCTTTTCCCTGCACATGCACAGGAGCATTTTTTTTTTTTTTTTTTTTTTTTTTTTTGAGACATGTCACAACTCATTCCCTGTCTTTTCATAAAAGAGGTGGGAGGGAGACGTGGTGATAGGTTGTTAAAGACATTTTTGCAATACCTGGAAAACAGGATTTACATTTCTTTGGAAATTCAAAATGTAATAATTCTGGGTTGGGATGGCTGTCCTTTGCCACAAGGGACTCCATTTATGCACACTGCCTATTTCTTAAAAATAATCTGAATTGCTGATAAACATTGATCAAACATTAGATTTTGTGCACTGTTTATCTTAATTTATTAAGCTTAAGCTTTTAAGTTTCCTGTTTCATTTGTTTTATAGTCAGAGAGTCCTTCAGATGTGCAAGCTGCAGAATTAATGACAACTCAAGCGACCTTATTACCTGTACCAGCCAGCGACTATGTCAGCCTGCTAAATATGTATTCACAACGGACGTTGCAAATAGTTGATTATCCTAACAAAGAACGTACTGGAGACGCCCATGCTCCCTTGTAAGATGTAGTTTGTCTTCATAATTGCTTTTAATACTTCTTTGTGTTTACTAACATTACCATTAGTTACCCTGAGTGGTGTTAGATTAATCTTTAGAAATACATTAAAAATTTGGAGGTAGTCTGGAGAGAATCCAGTGCAGGGCCATTAGGGTGGTTAAGGAATTAGAGATCACGACATAGGAGGAGAGGCTACGAAGGCTGTTTAGCTGGGAGAAGAGATGGCATGATGATAAAATGATAGTCGGTGTTGACAAAATCTTGGCTGTAGCTCTGGCACCTTTGTGGACCTCTTGGCATGTATTTTGGAGACTCCAGGGAACCAAGTGCCCAGGAAAGCCTGTTTTGTGTCTCCCATATGTACTGCAGTCAGTGAGTTGTAGAAACATAACAGTTAATGACATCTAAGGAATAATAAAGAATGTCTGTCTATTTTAACTCTCCTGACAGTATCTGCTGGAAAACTCTTCCTCTCATCCCATAAAAAAAAATCAACCATTTTAAAACCTAAACTGCAGATAACTTGTGATTGTGGGTGCATATGATATGATGCTTTGAGAAGTTCAGTCATAAAAAGTGCTAAGTATTCACTCTCTGAAAATTAATTATCTTGAAGACATGTCAAATTTGTTATCTACCATTATTAATTAAATGTCTATTGGAAATAATGTCCTGAAGATGTATATTTCAGATTTCTATTCTATAATGTTAATTGACTGTAATGTTTAAAATCATTAAATTAAGACCTGTCATACAGGATATAAGACTATTCCCTGTTGTATTTTACAGGTTTTCTTGTAGCTGTACAGTTAGTGGTATTGTGTATGGAAGTGGCACTGGAACTTCTCTAGCTGCTGCAAAACAAGCTGCTGCAAAACAAGCATTTGAGAAGCTCAATAAGGAAGACACTCTAACAGTATGTGCTATATTTATCCTTAAGACAAAAGTTTAATTCTTCTGTCTTTAATGTTTGAACAGATTTCCTCATTGTATTTAACAGCATATTCCATGGATTCCACTTAAGAGGGAAACCATCTATATTTTGATGGGTTGGTTGGGCTACAGGAGTCTGTTGGTGAAAATTATGTTGTGTTTCTGTATTCAATTGCTGATTAAAAAACCTCAAAGTTGATATCTCTGTGTGTTTCAGAATATGGTCTGATATGTTGTCAGTCAAGGATGCAGACATTAAAAAATTCTGAATCCTGACTAACATGCTGGTTGTCTCCTGTGTGAAGTGTTATTTTGCTGACTGGCTATGAACATAAATCTCTTACTGCCTTCTGTTGGATCAAAAATCTATTGTGAAATAAGAGAAAGGCAAAAGCAGGAGTGAGAATCAGCAAGACGTTCCTTCTGTAGTGTTCCAAGTCTAGTGAAGCAATTGCTAACACCATCCTCTGCGGAGCAGAGCTGTTGTCTTCATGTTGCCAATTGTATTTCCATACATGCAAAAAACTATCAGAATTCTAATAGTGATCCAAACCCACTTCTGAAATGCACAGAATAGTACATATAAAGTTCATATGAACTAACTACACTTAAGTGTAGTTTAAAGGGAAGGAAGGCAGTATGGGGGAGGAAAGAAATCTTTTTTACTATAAGTACTTTTTTCATTATTTGACTGTTTAATGTGAATTTTAAGTGCTTCTTTTATTGTTGTTTTTAATTAACCTTGTAACTGGTGGCCTATTACAGCTCTAGGATTCTTCCTTAGTATTTTCCTGTGTTGCAAGCTCATGGGTCTTTGCATTTTCATCAAACTCTGAAATTTACTATCTCAAGCAGAACCTCTGTGGCACTTACTCTAAATTTGGGGTGGGTTGTTTTGGCTTGGTTTTAATTTTTATTAACTCCCAGTGACATCTGTGTAACAAACAAAGTGTAACTAGCAAAAAGTAGTAAAGGCCCAGTAGTCCTGAATTTAAAAAAATGGGTTCTGTTTGTTGGCTATCATTGAAGCATAAACCCTTAAGGTTTTTTTACTTTTTGTTGGGTTATGGTCTGTAACAAATGTGGTTGTTGCTTTTAATGTTACATTTATTCTCTTATGACATGGGGGAAAAAATGGGAAGAACTTCTACTAAGTATTTTGGATTTTTAGTTGACCCTGGTTTAGTAATCCAGTTTTCACACTGAAGACATTGAATGTCTTTTTGTACAGACTCAGATTTTCAGTTCTGCTGATTACATATTTCAAAGCCTACATATATCGTGTTTTCCACACAGACAATTGCATACGCAGCAAACAATGAAAATAACTGTTAGTCTTATCCTGATTTTTTAATAGCTCCCAGACTCTGCTTCTGCGAATGTGTCTGTACAGTCTCATAATGAGTGGGAAAATGCTCAGTGTGACAGGGTTCTGTGTTTCTCTCCTCTGGGTGGAAGTTAGGCAGATGCGTTTCTTCTGCAGGGCTTTGAATGTTCAGTGTAGTTAACAACTTCCACTTAGGGCCTTGTAATCTTCACTCCAACGTCTTTGACTGGCATCTTTTGCACTAGGGATTTTTTTTTACATGATTTTATTAACCATTCTTGTTTTTTTCTTTTTTTCAGATGGGAAGTAAATATTCTAATGGCAATTCTACATTGAGCAAATATAGCTCTCCAGTGCCAACTCAGACTGACTCAGAGTAAGCTGGGTTCACTTATGCTGATAATGTGATAATAAAATGGATTTACTAATCTTAGAGGGTCATGTGATCTAATTCTGAATAAAATCTGTCAGTTTATTTATTGCAATGTAAAGCCATTTAATTTGAGCTTATGTTTCTTGGACTTCAGAGCAAAATTGGTTGTACTTGTGCAATTTTGAGTCATTACAGGTTAGCTTATAATAGTTTTAGAGCTTTCTGATAGATTTTTGCCATGAGTAGTTCTTTCAGAAGCCCTTTTACTGTAACTTGCCTCATTCCATAGCATTATTTCATGCCATTTTTGACACTCATCTTCCTATTGTGAACTCAGTATAATTCAATTTCAGTAGTTTCTTGGTTTCACATTCTGCTTTCTTCACAGATTGTTTTTTTTTTCCTTTTTCATTCTCCATAACTCTTCATTTCCACCAAAGGGAACATTTGCTTAGCAAAAGAAAATGAATGTGCATAAAGTTTGATCTGTGATTTGGGAACCCTAGTGCCACTACCACTTCTTTTATGCTCTTTGTGTGATTGTGAAGCAAGCTGATACATACGATGCTAGAGGTGGCTGCACTGCCTTGAAAAAAACACCTGTATTTAACCTATTTAATTAAAGGATATACTAGAATATATCATACAGATACCTACATATCATGATATCATATAGAAATAGAGGAGTATATTACAAAATGTTACTGATTTTATTATCTTTCCAGCATAAAGTTTTGTAGTTTAAATCAGTCATGATTGTTAATGCTTCTTCAGGTTTTGCTTTTAAAAACTTGGGGTTTATGTTTCTTATTTTTCATGGCAATGATTTTATTTATGATTGTGTTATTTTCACCTAAAAGTAGTCTATTATTTTTCAATAACAGCAGTATTTGCTTTGAAGACTCAGCTGCAAAGTTGATAGAAAAAATGAAAGACATGGCAGTAAGTGAAAAGCCTTCTCCTCCTCAGGTATAGTATGAAAATTGTCTTCCTTGTAATTACATTTTAGACCCTGAACAGAGCAATCTTCTTGTCAGTGTGTAGCATCAGTTTGTTCCTTTATCCACTAATCACTAGAAAACATGTGCATTTTTCCTAAGAATATTCGGTACTTTCTTACTACTAACCATTCGTAATTTATTTCTGTACCGTGGACCCAATTTATGTACTATTGACCAAATGGGCAGTACTCCCAAGAAAAAAGGCCAAACTAAGCTAGTATTTTTCTGTGGGAAGAATGATGATGTTATACATAGCATATGTGGAAAAAATTGAAGCTAAGATATGACTTTGTTTTTATTACATTGTTTATATAAGGTATGGACACATTAATATAAACAATTCCTAGATACATTCTCAGACACATTTTAAACTAAGTAAAGTGAAAATATTCAGGATATCTCAGTTAGTTTTTTTCTCTTTTCCATGTAGAGAGATGCACCAGGTTCTGCCTTGAAATGTGGAAGGTACGTGTTTATTTCTAGGTTGGTATCTCCCATAAACCACTTTAGTGTTTCTATATCTAGCAAAGAAATGCCACTATTGGGAGGTACGTTTCTTTTCTCTTGTCACATATTAGAAAAATGGCTCATTATAAGTTCTGCTTTTATCCTTGTTAAAGAAAATTGGCAGCTAATTTATATAATGTAAGAAACCAGGAAGAGAAAAGAAAGATGTCGGATTCAGATGAAAGTCTGCCAGATTTGGACACAAATACCAGTGAAGAGAATGGAAGTCCATACACTGTGAATAAAAGGTAAGAATAGGGTTTTTTTTTAATAAGATCTGTATGGCAATTACAGTATGTAGTGGTCTAGATTTGTTTGTTTATTTATAATAGAATGTAGGAAAATACTGCTGTAAAAATAACTTTCAAAGAAAATTGATATTTGGGATAGTATTTTTTTTCTGGAAGTTTTAAATATATATATAATATATATAGCACTGACATGCAATGATATTTAATGCTTACAACCAAAGGTCATTTGTGTGAAGATGTGAGGATAATTATTCTACATGCTTTCAAGGGTCAGCTTCCATTGTTTAAATCTTCAAGGCTATGATTTAGACCTGTGTAGGTGTTGAGTGATCCCTGTAGAATATTTCAGCAGATGTATTAGACCTGTCAGGATCATTTTTACATCTTGCAAATTTAATGTTAAGTATACTTAAGTTATATATCTTTTTTTTTTTTTTTAAGATTTCTTGAGAGTTTTAAAAATATTGAGCCCATTGGTGAAGGTGGTTTTGGGAACGTTTTCAAGGCAACAGGAAAGCTCGATGAGAGAACCTATGCAATCAAACGAGTTCGCTTCACAAAGTATGTACTGTATATTTCCTTCTTTTTTTTTTTCTTTTATTTTAGGGCAATCTTAATCAAGATTTTAGTACTTTGTTTTGTCTCTTTAATAATCCCAGGAGCATTTAAGTTATTTTCATTATTAATTGTCCATTCTTTCTGGTAAAATGTTTTCTTTTGTTCTAAGTGAAGCTGAAAATGACCATGCAACTTGGTTAATTTTTGTATGTGCTGGAATAATTTCAGATACATGTGTAAAAAGGTGTATTGTTAAGTTCTACTTCCCCTGAACACATTAGTGCTCTGGTTATTAATACTGCAAAATGTGTTTGAAGAAAACTTGCTGATTAATAAAACATTGAAGGTAGCACTGTTATTTTTGACAGGTTACATGGAAAACTTACATATCAGTAGTGCATAATGACTATAATTAGGGAAAATAGAGAAAAAAATTAAAGCAATACATTTTGTGCTTTGTAATTGGAATATGTGACCCATGTAGTCATTATTCTCGCATCATGTTACTTGACCTTTATATATCTCAACAGAGAATGATGATCTTAATTATTTTTTTAAAGGTAATTTTCTGTAATCAATACCTAGTGGAGTATTTTATCAGCAGCTGAAAAACTTGAATTTCTCTATTCAACCTATTCAGTCGATCAATAGGCAATCTATTCAAAAAGTCTCAAGTTGTGGGAGATACTTGTCCCTTATATTGGGTAACTGCCTTTCAGATTCTTGTGTTCTTCAGAAATATATGTTGTTTTCATTTGTATTGCAATACTGAGACATAAAAACCATTCTACTGATTCTTTAAATAAAGACTGCTGGTCTGCTGATGGGTTTGAACTACTTTACTAGGCAATGTTACAACAGGTAGTGCAGGCCAAATTTAATAATAGTTCTTCATGAGTATTTACATATATTTTCAAGAGTATATGTGGACAAACTTCATGGAGGTGAAAAGAAAACATGGGTGTTTGCTACATTGTTTGACTACCGAACATAATGATGCTTTTCTCGGCTTATTTTGAGTGGGGCTTTAATTTCTAATATGGTTAAAACATTTTTGCACTTTGAATACCTGAACAGATGAAGGAAAACTCACTGAATCTGTAACTACAATTTTGAACTTGTGTGAAGAAGAATATTATTTTTCTAAATTAATGTAAAACTATCTGTATACTGCTACTTGATATCATGTCTTTTATTTAACTATTAAATTTTTACAAGGAAATGTTATTTGGGTTTTTTTCCTTTCCCCCCCCTCCCCCCCTTCAAATAGGAATGTAAGGCGTGAAGTAAAAGAACTTGCAGCACTTGACCATGAAAACATAGTACGGTATTACTGTAGCTGGAAAGGATGTGACACTGTAACTCATCCAGACTCAAGGTAACTAAAAGATAGTAGCTTGCACTCACAAACTTGGTTGCTGTAGTGAATTTTGCGCTGTAAAAAGAAAGGCTGATGATTGGTTATAAATCATTATTAAATGTAAATGCATATATATATGCTTACTGTTAGGAAAAAAGGCAGTACTTTTCAGCAGCAGGTCATATATAATTAAGTATATCTGTATCTTATTTTCCTTGATAAGATACATTATAATTTTATTTTTCTCCTCTCTCTTAATATACAGAACTTTATGAATCTGTAGAGGACTATAAGAAAGCAGAACTCAGAAGTTCGGGGCTCAAATTAAGAACACAAACTAAAAAATTGTCTGGCAGCTCTGGCAGCTGGCTGCTAAATTCCTGATCGGAAGTTTCCTTTTTGTAATAACTACTGGTCAGCCAGTAGCTCTCATAGAGAAATAATTAAATCTAAGTTAGCATTTTAACTATGATGCCTGAAACAGTTTTGTTTGTTGAGAGCAGAAACACAAAATGAAATGGTCTTTCATTTAGACGTAGTCTTTCAACACTAAGACTTCTGGGAAGGCAGTGGTGAGAGTTTTACTTGTACGTTAGATTACTAACTTTTCAAAGCTTCTGTGGTAAGCTTTTTTCACTCTTTATTAAGTATTATTATTATTTTTGGAGTTCCCCAAAGCAAAGTCTGCAAGTCCCTTGATTTTAAAAAAGATTCTAAACCAATTTGTACTAGATATAAATAAATAGAACTACAAACCAAAGAATCCCTGTTCAGTAAGAGTAGCTGTAAATTCATACCCTTCAGATATGTTGCCACACTTACCCAGTCATAAAATATTAATGGATTCAAAATTCTGGTTGGCATGATATCTATCCAGTGTGCTTAGTAAATGAGGAATAAAAGAGTGGAAAAAAAAGTCTTGTGTCAAAACCCAATCATTAATACATTGGAGTCTCAATATCAATTACGCATTTTATGTTGAACAGTTATTGGGTAAAACAGAGGGAAAAAACCCTCCTCAAAACTGAGGTCCCAGCTTGGAATTTCACTTAGTGCTCTGACCTCAAGGCTACAGCAAGTCCTGAGCCGCTTAATGCTTGTTCTTTCAGTACCTCAGGCAGCTTCATTCCAGGGCACTCAGATTACACAAGTAGGAGAAAGTGGTGCCTACTCCTTTTCATACTGTCCTTCCCCTCACCATTTCCAGCCTCAGGCTATCTTATAGGCTGATGGTGAGGGAACTCTTTTTCAAAGTGTGAGTCTGTCAGGGGGAAGAATATATTTCATCTATATTTCCAGCTCTCAGAGGGCTTCTTGAACTCGCAGACTGATGTCAAAGATGGTCACCACACTACTTTCTTGAAGGGACAGAGTTTGAAAGAATGTTATCATGCTGGGTAGGAGAGGGAGGCTAAAGCTGTGTTTGAGCAGAATAGAGAATACCTGCCAGGGACTTGCAGCAGTTCCTACAGGGCAAGATGGGAGCCAAGGACAGTGCTGTTTCTTCCGTATAGGGAGATGCCTCTAGATATGAGGAGAGCTGAATTTGAAAAAACTTTCAGTGTGAACAAGAAAGCAAGCAAAATGTTAGCAATATTCCAGGGGTCTGTAGCAACTGAACAGGGATTCTTTCTTTGGTTTGCAGTTTTATTTATTTATATCTAGGACAAATTGGTCTAGAATCTTTTTTAAAATCAAGGGACTTTCACACTTTGTTTTTGGGGAACTCTAATAATAATAATAATAATAATAATAATAATAATAATAATAATAATAATAATACTTAATAAAAGGAATCTTTTAAAGAGGAACCTGAGAATCACTGGTGGCTTGGGAGGAATTGTATCTTGCCAATTTCAATATGGTATGTAATTTTCTTTTGCAGGCAGAAGTCAGACAAACAAACTGTCTGTCTTTTCATCCAAACGGAATTATGTGAACAAGGGACATTGGAAAACTGGATTGAAAAGAATAGACGAGACCAGAAGTATCATGAGATGGCACAAACCAAATTTTTACAAATACTGAAAGGAGTGAAATATATTCATTCTAAAGAGTTAATTCATAGAGATCTCAAGGTAAGTGGGATAGATAATTAAAGAAAAAAAAAATAGTACTTACTGGAATTTCAGAAAATATTAAATTGTTCTAGTCTTTGTTTAATCTATTATGTACCATAGTAGGATGTATCTTCTGATATTGCTAGTGATTAATTACTTTTTTTCAGTAACTGGCTGGACTTCATCCTAAAATCAGAAGTTAAACTGGAGGATCTAAGAATGCAGTAGTTAAAAAAATCAGTAATCAGTTAATGAGAGTTTTCAGTTTATTGTGTGTCACTGAGTCAAAAGACTGCCTATTGGAGTAAGAAATACTAACTTTACTTGATAAAATAATTAGAAGAAAGAAAGGGAAAAGTTGAGTCCAGGAAGTTTGCTCTTGCCATATTGTATTAGGATAGATAAACTATCCCTTTATATGCTGTGTTTGATAACAACATATGCTAGTTGCTCTTGTATCATGCACTCAAATATTTGAATGGTACTTTTTTGGATAGAAGTTCAGTATCAGTGCACAATCACAGAAAGGTTTTGTTTCAAGATAAAGATTATAAAGGACAAAGTTGCAAGCCTTCAGGGCTTCATATGTCAGCTACAATGTTGCTTATAAAGTTTCAAATCACTTGCTTTATGAAAGTTTTTAGTGAGGTGGTGTTCCTAAAAACTGCTGTAGTGGGTCACATTGAATGTTGATCTAGGATGCTGTTCTCCTTGTATAGTGCCTAATTCCAAACACCTAGAGAGCATCAGAGCTGAGAGATGATACCATTGATTCTGTCCTTGATGCATATTCCCTTCCTCTCAAGATTTATCATAACCTAAAGTTTATGGACTTCTCAAGCCAGAGATTGAAATCTTTTGCATTTTGCATTCACTCACAGTGTAGTTCCAGATCATGTTCACTGCCCACTCGTAGAATCATCCTATCTTCTAGAGCTTTTCTATCATCAGGCTTATTGCTACAATACTGGAACAGACCACAAATATACATTCATAAAATACTGATTTCCCTAGTTGTCTGGGAAAGAGGCCTAATAAGTGCCTTCTCACCCATTAATTGTTAGCTCTTCCTACTCTGTTCTTTGTGGTTTCTTGCTCCTTCAGTCCGACTTTATTTTCACCTCAGCTCAGTCTCTTACTTTTTGCTAGTGGGAAAAAATTGCAATTAATTTGGCATGTACTACTTTAAATTTAGTTTGTTCTTAAAAATTGAGCTTTTTTTCTATTCCCCACCCCATCAGTTTCTTAATGCTAATTTCTCTGAACAATTATCAAGTTTTATGGGGAGCACTTCTGTGGCTGATTATGCTTGACAATGAACCTTTCTCATATGGTGATTTTATTTTTTTTTAACTATATATAGCCTCAGAATATATTTATATCACGTGAAGATAAAATAAAAATAGGCGACTTTGGTCTTGTGACTTCGGTGGCGTATGGGACTCTGACTGAGAACAGAGGGACAAAATCCTATATGGCACCAGAACAGGTAATTATCCTGCTGTACTAGTGTTTGTTTAACTAGATTTTCATTATAAACTCAGCATTGGATGTTCTCAATCCTAATCTCAGTTCTAAATCAAGTTGCCTGAAGTTCCCTGGTACGACTGTATATGAGCGTAACTGTATTATGGAGAAAGCTGTCTGCAAGTGTGATTTTATTCTGCTGTGCCTAACCTCCAAGGTCTGACATTGCATGCTGTAAGGAATACTCTTGCAAAACCAGCCTCCCAGCCATATATTTCAATTTGAATTTAGAACTTCTGTTAACTGGGGCATTTGAGTCCTTCTATTTGTTTCATTATTTTTGCCGTATCTGTATAGGTCTGTGGAAGACTTAATTTCAGTGTGTTTAATGTGACACGTCACTATTTAACAAGTCTGTAGCAGAAAGCATTAACAACTAGTAAGATCAAGTAGGGCCAGTCCTGTAGCCTTGGGGTAGAAATTTCTACCAACTTCAAATTTTAGTTTAAGAAGTGCTGTCTGGTTGGATTTGATGCCTATATTGTTCTTGTGCTAATCTTTGTAGTTCGGAGACACATATGGAAATGAAGTAGATATTTATGCACTGGGATTAATTTGGTTTGAAATTCTTTCGGCATTCAGTGGTCATGAGAAAATTAAGGTATGTAATCTTTAGTCTGTGACTCTTCTGCTTTGCTGCTGGTATCGCATGCTGATTGCAGGCTAGAAGGAATGTATATCTAGAATACTGTGTCTATTTGCATTTTCCCCCTTGATTCATTTCTATAAGGCTTATAAGTCCTCACACTTTGGGTGAAATGTAGTAACTGAAGTAAATATTACTGGTTTTATTTCACTTATTTTTTACTGACATACACATTGAAGCCTGGGCATGCTAACTAATAATGTCTAGCAAAAAACATTTCAAGTTTCTGATAAGTATTTTTGTTTGATCAGAGTATTTGAAGGGACTGTTTTTTCTAATCTCAGAAAATAAAAATTATGAATGGGAGAGTTTTGTCTCTGCCAATGCTCTCATCTTCACTGCACAGTGGAGCAAGAACAAAGTTTCTATTGAGCCAGAACACTTGCAGTTTTCCAAAATGAGAACAAGTGATTTGTAATATGTAGCTTTAATTGAAAAAGATATTACTTAATGTATGGGAAAACAATACCGATGGGTCGGCTTGACTCACAGGTTCAACTTGGCTCTGTTTAGCTACATTGTAGTATTTTCTAAAACATCTTGTTCTTGTTCACAGCTGACTCTGCAAATGTGTCCACAGTCCCACAGTGTTTACAGTCAAAAGGGCAAGACAATTATTTAGTTTTGTTTCCTTAAAGCATAAAAATCTTGTGTCTGTAGGCAGGTAGGGAAGTCACGTGGATGGAAAGTCCTAGGATGGTCTTCAGCTGCCCCATCAGCTTAGAAAATAATTTCACTTAATGGAGCATGATAAACTCTGCATGGTGCTGGCAAGCCCTGCTGAAAGAGCATCATGCAAAAGCAAAGTTGACTATGAGCTGAGTAACTGGCTCAGCTGATGATCACTGAAGAGTAGGGAAAAAGCTTCAAGTTCATGGGAGCTGTTGTTTTACTGGACACTGATTATAAGGATAATGTTTCTGAAACAGAGGGTATTGCTGAAACAAACAACATCATTGTTGAGTGTGAAGCTTTTAAGTTTAAAAAGGGACAACAGTTGATGAGAAGACCATAAAAATCCAAAAGTACAACTAAATGGAAAAATCTTTCAAACTCTTTTTTTATAGATTTGTATTTTCCTAATTACTTCAGTAAATTTTATGGGTGAGATGCAAAATATAGTCAATGAAAACATACTGAAACTGTTCTCTCTTATGAATTTCAGGTGTGGCATAATGTTAGAGAAGGTAATCTTCCAGAGAGCTTCACCAGACAGTTTCCAACAAAGGTATGCGATTTTAATACATTATTTCAGTTAGTTTATTTAGGCATAAAAAAATGTACTGACATTTTATTTCTTTTTGTAGGCGCCTATAATCAAAAAGATGCTTTCAAGAGACCCTTCGGGAAGATACTCTGCATCTGAAATACTTGAATTTTTCAAGTCTGTTGATAAAGACAACTCACTGAAAACTCATACTCAGTGAATGCTCTTTTAAAAGGCTTTCAGGCTCTGTTTAAATCCAGAGTTTGATTTTTGTTGAAACTGATGAAATAACAGTAAATGTCAGAAGCAACAGCAAGACTTTTCCATGGTGTTTTGCTTTCCTGCCAGTGAGGAGCTCATCAGCCAAAAGGGGCACATCACCATTCACGCCCATCAGCTGCAGACCAGGACTGTGCACTGTGCAAGTGGTTTTTACCTGGAAACAGAGGTGGTGGATGAGCCAGACTATATCATGCAATAAGTACAGGAACCTAGTCCTTGTCTCCTCGAAGATTAAGTTGATGTGGTGCTAACTGGCAAACACCTGTATGCATGCTCTTAACATGTGCTGCATCCATTATCAGTCAATGCTATCTATTGGTTTTCATTGAAGAAGTGCTGTTTTGTGGTGTGTGTGTGTGTGTGTGTGACACAAACCTTTCCGATTTGTTCAGTGATGTTTTTAATAATTACCAGAATGTTCCCATTAATACCACAACTAGTTTTGGTAGAAAAGATACTAGGAATAGGTGGGAATTATTCTTCACTGAATTTCAGAAAAGGTGAACTTTTCAGCACACCTGTTGAACATCTAGCACCTTCAGTGCTCTAGAATTTTAAAATACATACTTTTAAAGTAAGCACTCCTTGAGAATTTAAATGTTAAGCATTCAGCTTTTCTAGGAAATCTAGTTTAATTTGTTCTAAATTTTTTAAAACCTTCGAAAACCTCATGTTTTAAGGTGTTGTTTTTTTTTTTCATGAAAGAAATAGTCTTAAAAATCTTAATAGTTTCCTCACTAGTAACCATTTAGAAATCCTGTGCTGAGAGAGCACCTTAAACATTCTCTCCCACACTCCCTTTTTATAACACTGAGGACGCCTCAAACCCTTAAAAAGTGTACTGAATACCTCTCATTGCCTTACTGTCAGCCCCACAAGAGCTAACAGCAGATTGCCTATTACTCTTTAGTGATCTACTTCTTTGGAGTTCAGACTTGGACTGGAAGAATTGTGTGTGGTGGAGGTGAGCAGGGAGAAAAGACAGGCACATAAGTCCTTCAGATGCTTGTCTTTGAACTCTATCTTGTTAAACTATTCACTGCTATGGAGCCTACGTAACTTCATAAAGGTAAATGAGCAGATACTTCTAAGCAAAAAACAGGTACTTTGTGAAGTACTGGATGCTTTTTCTGAAATGTTAGATTGCTTAAAATTGGGTGCTTGGTAAAAAGGAATGTTATAAATGAATACATAGTAATTTTTAAATTCTTATGGAAATGACTGCTGATCTGCAAGTATTTGTTGCTAACTAAGAATCTTTTACATCCTTTTGTAAGACATGAAGTTGTTTTTTATTTTTCCTCCTTATCATGAATCATGAATACACAGAGCATTTCACTGTTCTGAACTAATTAGTATTTCTTTGCAGTGGTCAAGATCTGGGAGAAATGGTATCCTGACACTTCTTCCCTTTCACCCATAAAACTACTCTTATAATATGAACATTGGTATGTGACAAACTTTGGCTGAATATCCTTTATAGTTTGTGGACAGAGCACCTGTAACACCATTATGTTTTCACTGTAAAGTAATATTGAGCTTGTCCCAGTAGGTTTTGATACTTCCCCCCCCCCCCTCAGCAGTACCTTTCTATTAGTGACTGTTTACAATAGCAACTGTTGTTCCCTAAAAATAAAAGGTCTATTAAAATGTATTTTATGTATTAAAAAACCCCAACATCATCATGATCTGTTACTATTTAGTTATGCAAAATGTGCACCCTCACATACAACAGAATATTGGTGCAAATAATAGAAGTAGTGTTTCACAAGCTTTTTTTTTCCCCACCAGGTCTGAGAGAGTAAGGAAAAAAGTCTGATGTTTAGTCATCTCTGTAAAGATGAAAAAACCTGTTTAACACATACAACAGAAGTAACTAGACAGCATTTATTCCCTTACTCAAATTTGAATTTTATTATCAGATGATCTTATTCAGTTGGGCAGTGCATAACCGAAGACCGTGGAAGGCTTAACCTGCCTCTCAATTATGGTAGTTCAATTATAAATGCAAAGTTTTAATTCCTGATAAATTGTGCATCAAGCAGAAAATCCATAAAATGCTTCAGAAAGGCATTTAACCTGTCAATGTAACTATTTTTCTGCATACTTTGGTGTGAATTCTTCAGTACGGCACAGCTCTGAACCTTCTAAAAGATACTATGAACTATACATACTTATCTAGGACTCCTTCCTAGAGAAAGGCTTTAGTCATGATCTGCAGCACTGTCACCAGGGCAGTTTGAAGATAAGTCTTCAGGGTCTACAGGATAAGCAGAGAAAAAGTGAGTAATTCAAGCTTGGAGGAAGGAAAGAAAAAGTTGCTAGACTTACTTGACAAATCCATATAAAGCAGATTAAACAGAATCAAAGAAGTTTGCAAGTTATTAATACCAAACTTTGCTTTAAAACAGTGAACACGAATTCTACCCTCTTTGGTGCAGTGAAATTGGATAGTGTCATAAACATTTCAGAAATGTTTATTTTTGTTCAAAAACAAGCTTTTTATGCTTTTTAAAAAAATGGTATTTTTAATATCTTAAATTATTTTTCCTAAAAAAAATTAATACGAATACCAATTGAAATAAATGCCGATATGTATGGATGGATGGTTGGTTGGTTTCTTGTGCATGTAAACGCTTAAAAATTGGCTTATAATCAAAACATACAAAGCTCTGTGAAAGGAACAGCAGCCTGGAAGGATTATTTCCTACGTAGATTTAAAAGACTGCAGTAAGAGAAATGTAAAGAATATATTGTACTATTTGAGTCTAACTGCATAAGCAAAGTAAAACAGTTACAAGACAGGTTTACTCTTACCTTCATAGGTTGTTCCACACCAAATGCAATAAAAGTGTTTTTCTCTCAGATAGGCAGTCAGGATGTGTAGCTTTTCTGACACCTAGAGATATGTACAGGTATGCAATGATCTGGGGCTCACGTGATGCAATAGTTTGAGCTACTAGCTTTGCTAAAATAGATTGTTTAACCTTTTGCTTTGGAAAAGCTACGCAATATTGTAGCTCAGTCAGGCACAAAGTTTCTCAAATGTGTAGCATAGAGCAAAGGAATTAATGATCTCTGGAAAGTTAATGGCTGTTGTTTGCTCATCCTTCTTTCTAACTAAGAAACGTGCATGGAAGAGAGAGCTAAAAATATTGCCTAGCTACCTTATTTCAAGTATATGATATTTTTTGTGGAATTTTTCACACCTAATCTCTGCAAATCAAACACGTAAAGCTAACAACAACTGTGTAATCTAGTTCTTAAAAAAATGTGAACTACCAATGTTTATCTTGAGATAATCTGTGAAGGATTTTCAGAAATTACTTAGTAATTCTAAAATTCAGCCTAAGATGAGGCATCCAAAATTAAAACTCAAAAGCAAGTAACTTCAATCAAATATGTGATCTTGTGTATCCTGGTTAAGACAAAAAATGTTTAGAATTTCATTTCTAAGCTGCTTTTTCCAAAGATCAGCTTCAAAACAGATGAGCAATAAATGAGTGGTTTAATTTTTTATATTTTATCGTGTAACCGCTATAAAAATCACTGCTCTTAAGACAGCAAAGAGGCCGTTCACTACAGCTTGGAGAATGACATGTATACATATATCCTTTATACAGGTATTATACACACATACTTTTAAAAGGAATATTAAATCTAGTTCTGAATCAGGCCATTAATTTAGTTGCAGAGCTTACACTTAAGTCTGAGCTTGTGCATTCATCTTCCTTGTCTTCGTCATCTTTGTCTTCCTCTTCAGGTTCTAGCCAATACCAAGTCTCCTTGGGAACATCGATATCCTTAAATAGTGAAGGATTTAAATGAAAATTATCTGCCTTTACAGGTTTCCTTGTAAGATACTGGATAAAAACAATTTCTAATAGGTGAGATGTCAAGTATTAACACTTCCTTGTATACTATAACCAAGATTTACTAAGGCTATAGTCAGAAACCACATACAGCGGTTCACAAGGATTATTCACTCTTTTTAAAGCAAGTCAATGCATGCTAACATTAAGTTCTATTCCATCTATGTTCAGTATGTGTAAGGCTACACAGCAACATAATCACACAGCAACATAATCTCACACCAAGGCTGTGAACAGATACCCTTTTTTACCAGTTGAAAACATGCTGCCCCAAGTTGCACAGTGTTTCCTAGTCCACCTCAGGTAAAGTTAAAGGAAGAAGAATCAACGAAGGTGATCTAAGATAATTTAGCCAACTTCATTTAAAGCAGACTAAGGAATATCAAACCATCTCAGCAGAACTTGTGGGCAGTATTAACCTCTAAACAGGTTAACTGAGAAAAGAAAAATACTTCTAATTTTTCAAGTGGCAAAAATTTAAAGTAGATCACTGCTATCACCTGCGTTACTCCTTGCAGGTGGAAGGTACTTTGTTTTGGGTTTGTTTTTTGTTTAAATGCTTATTTAGTTAATCAGCTGATTCCCTCAATGATGATCCCCATCCTTGGAGATACTAAAGAGCTGTCTGGACATGGTCCTGGACAACCTCCTTTAGGTGATCCTGCTTGAGCAGGAGGGTTGTACGAGATGACCTCCAGAGTCCCTTCCAAGGTCAACCACTCTGTGATGATATTGTTCCCTCACTTGAGGCAAACAGCACTGTCATTTAGGATGGCCTGACATTAGCTACTGAAAGATATGCAAACAGCTCAAAAGTAACCACAAGAATGCAGGAGCAAAAGCAGGTCAGCTCTGATGGCACAAATTAACATGGGTCCTCACATAAGTTACTGTGAGGTCGGTGTATACCTTCAAATATCTTAATGGTGCAAACATATACTTTGAAATATTTTAAGAGGACTTAAGTGTTGCCAAACATCAAGACTTCAGGCTTGTTATCCCACAGTTTTAGAGAACTTCCAAGAATTAAATCACTACTTTATTTGTAGCTTGTTATCTCTAACCTATAAGCCTTCCTTTCCAACCCCCCAAAATATAGGTCTCACTTTTTGCATATCTAATTGCTGGCAGGCCCTCTGGCTTTTTCGGAGGTCCCCTTCCATCTTACGTTCTTCTTGTTTGTTTTTGAATCTTACTCTGTTAAGAAAAAGTAGATAGCTAAAATAAGCAGGTAGATAAAAAGGGAGATAGCTTTTCTAAAATAGAAAATCTTAAGATTCTAGCTGTACTAATTCACTCAGACCAGGATGAGAAAGTTAAGAAGTCCTGACATTGTTTCTGCAGAAGCACACATGTATTTCTAATGAATTATACCTTTAAGATGGTGCTTTTTTGATCACAGTAGACTGAACACTGTTTCTTCATCAGGTGTCATGTTGTAAGACATGAAAAAAGTGGTTCACTAAACATCTGCAAAAAATACAACCTTCCCTAGGCATACCTTCTCTACAAGTAACAAGGAAATCAGGAGAAAATAAACCAAATAAAACTTATACAAATTTACCCTGATTTTTAAGCCTGTTGTAACAACGTTGCTCAGGATTATCTGTGGATTTTATATTAAAAAGATGACACTGTTCTCTGATTAAAAAAGTTGCAACTGACTTGAGGAAAGCTAGTATGTATATCGTTTGCATTATTAACATTTACAAAAGTAAATTATGCAGCACACACTTTTAGCATTAGTGTTCATTTGCTTTCGCTTTAGAACTGAGAAACAATTACTCTGTATTTCAATTCTTACCTTTCATTCAAAAATAGTAACACATTAATAACCAAACTTAAAGCTTTAGACACTGCCCTGAATAGCAGTTACATCATTTTACCTGAACTGATCTGCAGCTTGTTCATTTGCTTTTTTTTTCATATGGAGTTTTTGTCTATAGTTTTCTAGTTTTTCTTCAGCTTTTCGCTTTTTTAATTCCTCATGACCAAGCCCACTTCTGCCTATGTAAGTTCAAAAGATGGATGTAAGCAGTTGAGAAGTTCTGATAACCAAGTAAGTAAATCAGGAAGTATCACAAACCTGTTTTTATGTTCAGAGGAATAGGTTCAACAATGCCTTCTCCTGCGAGGGAAAAAACAGGTCAATTTAAGAAATCAGGTCTTTCTCAAATATGATTTGTGCAGCATGTTCAAACAGACAAGCTGCTTTTACCATTAAATATGTACCTTTCCTTGTGATTTTGTTGCTTGGAAGTTGTAAAATCCCAAATCGATGTACATTTAGCGGATTGCAAATGACCCAGCTGAACTGGAACTCTCTCTTTTTTGGCCTGTCTGCTGGATTGCTATGTATCTTTTTCATGACACTACCCAAGTGAGAGAAAATGGTGTTGCCTTGACAGGTATAACATAACTGTGACAAAGACTGCTTGGTTACAGCCTTCTGTAGCATTTTTCATGCTAAAATCTCACAACTTGACAAAGACGAAGAATAAAAAGTATCTGTCTAGGCCAGTTCATTTGCCGATTGTCTGCTAGAGACACGCTGAACTGGCACAGCAGTTACTGATGCTTTGCTTTACTGATTTTACTTCATCTATTAAGGCTTCATAAGGGCAAGCTAGCGTGCACTATTTCTTCTTCAGAATTCACTGTAAATGTAGAGGGAGGGATTGACTTTTTTTGGAACACTACTAGCTTTGCAATACCATCAAAACATTCTTAATGCAAATCCTGTAGGCATGTGTGTATGGAACTGCATTTCCTGAGCAGCAAGTACTGCTGCTTCCCCTGCATCTCTGGATAGTCCGTACCATTTTTATTTCAATTTTCAGAGATTTGCTCTCGTCTTTTGTTCTGCCACAACATGTTCATAGTTCAGTAATGCTTGGGCTCTCTGAGAGGCATTTATTGACCCTGTCTACAAATGAAGAGGCAGCTACAGCCTGTAAAATACAAAGGCAGCCCTGAACTTAGGCACACACACAGTGACAAGCTTACCACTTTTGCCAAGGGCCTGGCCGCTCTTGTAGCCCATCTTCTGGAGCAAAGCAAAGCCTTTGTTCTCATTGCCCAATGCACTTTTCAATACCAAGTCACGTCTCTCTTTCTCTTCTTCTTTTATACTCTTTTGTCTGTTCTTCTCATTGGCTTCTTTTTGCTTTTCTTCCTTCTGAATAGCTTCCTTCACACGCCTCACCATGGGCAAGCCTGGTCTTACATCCTGCCTAAGAGTTAATAATTCCAGCAAATGTTATCATTTTTTTTTTTTTTACATGTTTACAATCACTTCAGAGGGGAAAAGAAGAGCCACTTACGTACTTAATAAACAAATCAGACATGTAGTCTTCCTCTTCATCCTCCTCCATGCTTAGCACGCATACCCTGTCCTGACCCCTTTCCTATCAACACCGCCAACGCGCTGTATCATGCACTTGACTTCTCTGTAGGTTACCTGAAACGCAGAACCCGCTTTCAACCAGAGAAACACTTGCCGCTGGGGACGCGGCTGGAGGCTGAAGGACGAAAACACGTGAACCCGGTGGGGGCCGGTGGCCCGCCCCGGTCCGGTGGCCCCCGCGCCAGGCTTCACGCCCACAACGCGTTTTTCCGGGCCCCTCTACCAGCGGCCGCGACGCCTCTCAATCCCCGGAGCCTTCGCCCGC